TCAGGTAACACAGATACTAACACTCACTCAGTCACTCAGGTAACACAGATACTAACACTCACTCAGTCACTCAGGTAACACAGATACTAACACTCACTCAGTCACTCAGGTAACACAGATACTAACACTCACTCAGTCATCCAGGTAACACCTGCAGATACTTAGGGATTCACCTGTGCAGACTCTCTGTTCCTAATGAATACATGACTGTAACGCTGATGTTCCTGCAGCTCCAGGCGAAGGTGTGCTCGCTGACGGAGGCTCTGCAGGGATTGGAGCAGAAGAAGAGGCAGCTGGAGGAGAGTCAGGACGCTCTGATGGAGGAGGCGGCCAAGCTGCACGCTCAAGGTCAGTCGCCATGGTGATAGGAAACGCTGCTCTCTAATTGGCTGACGTTCGGTTAACATTGAACACATTCATAACACCGTGTGTGTGTGTGTGTGTGTGCAGGTCAGATGCAGCACGGGAAGGTGACGGATAAAGAGAAGGAGCACATGAGCCGCCTGCAGGACGCAGAGGAGATGAAGGTACGGGTGGATCTGCAGCAAGACACTCAGTAACTGTTGAAGTGTCCCAGAGCCTCTGTGTTGTGATGTTCACAGGATTTAGTAAAGAAGGCTATTCATCAGAACAGTTTGTTGTTAATACCTACTGTAGGTTGATATTAAATAATGAAGTGACGTGTGTTGCCGTGCAGAGGACTCTGGAGGAGCAGATGGAGAACCACAGAGAGGTTCACCACAAACAGCTGAGCCGCCTGAGAGACGAGATCGAGCTGAAGCACCGAGAGGGGGAGCGCCTCAAAGAGTACGTGTTACATATATATTACATCATATGTGTTACAGGGTGCAGACTAATTAAACCAATACAAATAGTGAAAGAAATAACAAGAGAAATAAAATTGAGAGAATTGTGAGAAAAATCTATATTTTCCCAACAAGAATGTCTTGAGATGTGCAAGAGGAGTCTTTTTACACGTAAATGGAATATAATATTTAGAGAAATAAAGATGCAAACAGGTTAATGTTTCTGGTTGTTCTTTACAGAGTCCAGGTATTTAATAATCTGAATTGGGATGAAAATGTCTCTCAGTCTGGTGGTTTTAGTCCTGATGCTGTCCCTGAGTCTGGTGGTTTTAGTCCTGATGCTGTCTCTGAGTCTGGTGGTTTTAGTCCTGATGCTGTCCCTGAGTCTGGTGGTTTTAGTCCTGATGCTGTCTCTGAGTCTGGTGGTTTTAGTCCTGATGCTGTCTCTGAGTCTGGTGGTTTTAGTCCTGATGCTGTCTCTGAGTCTGGTGGTTTTAGTCCTGATGCTGTCCCTGAGTCTGGTGGTTTTAGTCCTGAAACTGTCCCTGAGTCTGGAGGTTTTAGTCCTGAAACTGTCCCTGAGTCTGGTGGTTGTAGTCCTGATGCTCTCCCTGAGTCTGGTGGTTTTAGTCCTGATGCTGTCCCTGAGTCTGGTGGTTGTAGTCCTGATGCTGTCCCTGAGTCTGGTGGTTTTAGTCCTGATGCTGCGGTACCGCCTGCCAGACGACATCAGACAGAACAGTTTATAAGGTATGTAAGGGAAACTTCTGCAGCAATGGAGAGTCAGGACTCAGAGAGACACAAGGAGAGTTGGAGCTTTGATGTCAAACACTGATGTTTATTACAAGTATCGGCCGGAGAAATTCACATCACAAGTCACACAGCCAGAGATTCTGACTGCCCTGGTGGTTTGCAATGTCAAAATCTGACCAGCCTCTCTCTCAATAGACCTTTTAACATGTTTGGCGTGTGTTACCATTAGCGTACCGCACCGCTGTCGAACAACGCCGACACACCGGCCTCGTCCGATCCACCACTCGCACTCCATCGTTATTGTAGTCCGCAGGGAACCCGAAATATTCCCACACAGCTGATTTAAAAGAGGCAGGTGGGTTCTAGCTCCTGTGTGTTATCTGAACTCGCCTTACTAACTTTTCTTCTTCTTGTATTTTGTTCGTTTTGTTGTTGTGTTTTCTTCTTGTTCTTCATTTGTTGTTTTAGGGCGGCAGGCAAACAGCTTTTAGGCGCAATACCGCCCCCTGGATTATAAATAGTGTAGTGAATACTGCCCTGAATGACAGACCTTTTTTCCCACTCGTAAAAAAAAGGCGTATTCGTCGTGTGACTGCATGCACCGAACCGTGACGTCAAGGAGCGAATACGGATACCGTTACACCCCTAACAGGGTGCAAACTCAAAGAGTCCATACATATTTCCATCCATCTTCTCCCGCTTATCCGTGGTCGGGTCGCAGGAGTGGCAGTTCTAGCAGAGAGCCCCAAACTTTCTTTTCCCTGGCCACATCAATATCAATATCCATACATATTTATGAAATGATATACAGTATGATAGTGAGCATGCTGATGTGATGTGTTTCCTCAGTCTGACCCAGGCTCTGCAGCTGGAGGTCAGGAAGCTGCAGTCAGACTGCGACAAGCTGAAGGCTGAGGACCACAACAAGGAGCAGAAACTGCAGAAACTCATGTGAGTTGGTGCACGTCCAACAATACATCACTATAACATGATAATATCATGTGAAGATATAACATCAGCTGTTTGTGTTGTGAGCTCTCAGGTTCCTGAACGAGAAGAGGGAACAAGCCAAAGAGGACCTGAAGGGTCTGGAGGACACGGTGGTGCGTGGGTCTTATATCTTTATTAGATGTCTCTATATTAGATGTCTCTTTATTAGATGTCTCTATATTAGATGTCTTATTGTGTGTCCTCCCACAGGCCAGAGAGCTGCAGACTCTGAACCACCTTCGGAAAGTGTTCATCGAGGACCTCGGGGCTCGAGTCAGGAGCGTAAGAAAACTTCTTCTACCGACCATTTATTAAAACAACAGTTAAACACATCAACTTTGAAAGGGTCCTCTCCTGCTGATGTTCACGCTTTAATGTTCGTGCTTTAATGTTCGTGCTTTAATGTTCGTGCTTTAATGTTCGTGCTTTAATGTTCGTGCTCTAATGTTCACACTTTAATGTTCACACTTTAATGTTCACACTTTAATGTTCATGCTTTAATGTTCATGCTTTAATGTTCACACTTTAATGTTCACACTTTAATGTTCACACTTTAATGTTCATGCTTTAATGTTCATGCTTTAATGTTCACACTTTAATGTTCACGCTTTAATGTTCGTGCTTTAATGTTCATGCTTTAATGTTCATGCTTTAATGTTCATGCTTTAATGTTCATGCTTTAATGTTCACGCTTTAATGTTCATGCTTTAATGTTCACGCTTTAATGTTCACACTTTAATGTTCACGCTTTAATGTTCACGCTTTAATGTTCATGCTTTAATGTTCATGCTTTAATGTTCACACTTTAATGTTCACACTTTAATGTTCACGCTTTAATGTTCATGCTTTAATGTTCACGCTTTAATGTTCATGCTTTAATGTTCATGCTTTAATGTTCACACTTTAATGTTCATGCTTTAATGTTCATGCTTTAATGTTCACACTTTAATGTTCATGCTTTATTGTTCACACTTTAATGTTCATGCTTTAAT